CACACACACACACACACACACACACACACACACACACACACACACACACACACACTGCTGTAGGATAATCCTCACTGCGTCTGTGTTTGTGTTTCAGTGCTCAGGTGAAGGTGTTTGTGACCGGGCTGTTCAGCTTAAACCAGGACATTCCTGCCTTCAAGGAGCACCTTAGGGACTTCTTAGTCCAGATAAAGGTGAGGTTGTTAGAGTCATGTACAACAAAGTGTTTTTCCACTTAGGTACAGGAAATATACAGCCTTATATCTGTATTTCCATCCTGTCTGTTTGTTTGTTGACGTGAATCTAACAAGGCTCTGCTCAGCCTGTGTCTTCTCACAGAGGTTATCAGTGACTACATAGCTTGCTGGTTAGCCGCTGTTTCCAGAAATAACATTCTCCTCTATGGCCAGGTTTCCCTTCTAAATATATGGGAGGTTTGTTGCTGCCGTGCCAGTTTATTGTTGGAATAAATCTGTGTATGAGAGCGACAGGGATGTGATAAGCCACTGAAGGACATGTAGACTCTTTCTGGTCTGCTGATGGCTCCAGTTTTCAGCTGCCCGGCTCAAAGAAAGATCATTTTAGGTGCCAATTTATTAGTGTTTATCTTCCAGATTATAATTTCAAAGTAAAAGATATTTTCAGATGGAATGAGGATTAGAATGAAAACACTTCAAGGCCCTTTTCTGGTGGTCAGAAACCCACTAACATCTCGCTTTTGTCTGCAATTGAAATGGATACGATCGACATCCATTCCCTGGTCAAATGACTTTGCGGAAGACGCAGGTTTTTATTGGCTGCTGCTTCTATGAGCAGTGATAGAAAGATGAAACCTGGGTGAACGTGCTAATTTGGCAAGATGGCGAGGTGAGAGAGCGTTCATGACGTTGTACGTGACACACCAGGGGGAAAAAACAGAAAGGCAAACTTGGACTGGCAATGGGAAAGGAGTCTATCGCCTTTTTAAGCAAGTTTTCCCGCCTTTAAAAACCTGCTGATACCTGCCAAAATAGGTATTATTGTCAACAGCTTTATTTATTATTACACAAAATATGAGTTAAACATTTACTTTCTCTACTTTCTATTCAGTAAATAGATTTGTGTGAGCTTTATATTTCTGACATTTTTCCAAAACTTATCAGTATGGATGGATCCTTGGAGGTGTAGTTGGACTGAAGCCTTTCTTTCTCCCCCTGCTGTTCTTCCAGGAGTTTGCGGGCGAGGACACCTCAGACCTGTTCCTCGAGGAGAGGGAGGCGTCGCTGCGTCAGGCTCAGGAGGAGAAACACAAGATCCAGATGTCGGTGCCGGGCATCCTCAACCCTCACGAGATCCCAGAGGAGATGTGTGACTGAGCAGCAGCTCAACAAAACTGTACAGTACTCCAGACAACCAACAAACAAACATAAACAAACAAATAAACCCTGACCACAGCAAACACAACAAAACCCAAGAGAGGCACTTGAGTGCGGTGGGAGGCTGCTTCCCCTCTGCAGAGCGGGGCCGTCCCACTGGATGTTTGTTGACCAAAACGATGCCAATAACATGTAAATGAAACCGCGTCACCCTGTGGCCCTTTTTACATAATCTGCATTTTCTATGGGAACCTTTTGTGTGAGCTCTTTCCAGAAGCATCAATTTGAGCTTATGTTTTGTTGCTCTCTGTTCCATCTGACCTGCATGATGAGGTTGTAACGATTAGGACACGTTTACAATCTGTTTTTTGTTTTTGTTTTTTTCTCGTTCTGTTCCCTCCACGTTCTTTTTCCCAGTTCTTCCTCCCCCCTCATATATTTGTTTATATATAAATATATTATATATACAGTCTGAGCAGGGTTTTTGTAAGGACACCTTATGTGTCACGTCGGCATAGAGGCTTCTAGACCTGTGGCGAGACGGACAGGAAGTGGCTCTTTTAGAGGCGCACACACCGCTTATTTGGTGCCCCACGGCATTGTGGGAGAATGTGAATCTAACGGATTATGAATGAAGGCTGAGAGATGCTGCTTCGTATTTCAGCATCTGTTGCTCCTGAGTTCTGCTTCACCTAAAAAAAAGTGTTTGGCTGCTGCCGGCAGGATTTTTTGTTGTTGTTGTTTTTAGGGAAAGCAAAACCGAATATGTGCATATCATCCCAATTGTATAGCATCTTTACTACCATGGGAAATTTTTTTCCTTTTATTCTATTGTTTCTTTTTTGTTGTGGGTGTGTGCGTGTGTGCTGTCGCCTAGTCGACATCAGCGTTTTGTTTTCCTCTAAGAGGATTGTTGCTCATTTGTGAGCCTTCATTAATGGGATGTTTTACGGAAGTGGCAGAGGTATTTATGGGTTCTTGGTTGGTTGCATCTTTATAACAACTCCTGTTTAACTCAGATGGCTTTCAAGATTTTGAATTGTACTAATTTAGATTGTTTACCATGCAGTAGTGCTTCAAGACACTACCTTTAGAGCAAAATGAAAAATAAACCTGGGTTTACATTTAATTTTGTATTTTTGCATTTTTTTTTCATTTGTACCTGTTTGAGTTCTGTCCAAATAAACAAAAGGCTTTTTGTCCACAGAGCAAATGAATTGCCAACGAGTTTAATTAGGAAAAGAATGTATAAATCCAAATAAGTACCCGATCTCTAATGGCAAATTTCCCTTCTCGAGGTGTTATATTTGTTGTGAGCTTTTTGAACTGATTAAAGTTGAGAATTTTATAACCCTGCCTCTGCTCAGATTTTTTTATTTCACGACAGGGACACAAATTTTTCATAGCAATTTGTTCCATCACTGCCCCATATATTTACTGAGATTTAAATGCTAACAAAAAAAGGAAAAATAATCATGAATATTTGAATAACTGTACAAACAAGGCAGAAGCTCAAACTAACGTTCAGGTTACACTTGAGTGTTGCGTGAAATGAAGCTCAGACCCTGCAGTCTGAATAAATCTGAAGCAGATGACGTGATAAGGTGTTCCTGGGATGTGGAAAAAATAACGACAGTTTATATTTTGAGCTTTTTAACTTAACTGTTCATCTGTGATGTTCAGGATGAAACTTCCCTGTAACATCACTTTGAACTATTGAGCTCATAAAAAGGTAAGTTTAAAGTACAGAAGCATATCAGGGTCAGACATAAGACAAGCATGAGAGAGGAAGTTTGCATTTGTGAGAAATGTTGAAATGTTGAAAAGACTAAAGTAATCTCCTCTGATCCATCAAATATGTCAAGATCAGTGACTGACGTGTGTGAGCTGCCAGAGTGTTGCATCCTGGGAGCATTGGTGTGGTTTCTCCTTATGGACATCTTTCTGCACAACCTCTTCAAAGACTGAACACCCATCATTACACTGTGTTAATGAGCTAAAGGAAATATGATTTGCTTGTAACTAAAACTGATTCCGAGGTACGATGTTAACCGTTTATTGCACAAGGCATTTTGTAAAAGTATTGATATCCTCTAACATTAGAAGAAAAGCTTATCCTCAGTGAACAAAATAAAAAAATCTCTCATTTAGTTTCATTTTAATATTGATATTTCAACTTTATATTTAAAATGCAAAATGAAAATAGAATCCTCTTCTCATTTTTATCTTAAGCATAGCCCTCTATAAAAGTAACGAGTGTAAGTAAAAGTATTATAATACTGATGTTGAATCAGTATAATGAGAATTTGAGAAGGCATGTTGCCATCAAAAATAAGCTTTCCAGTTTAAAGTAAATAAGAAATCTACATGTACAGTTTGTCTCTGTATAAATCACAGATCTGGATCGAGACTCTCACCTGGACAGTGAACACCTCACACACTGTCGTCTCTTCGTACGCAGTGTTCCCGCGGCATCCGGCTGCTTCCGCTCAGACATGTTTGGCTGAGGCTGGTGCAGTGTAAGGCGAGCTGGTCACTAATCCCTGTTAACTTACTGGTATTACAGTGAAGGTTATGATGATGCTTTTCCAGTGAAAGTTGAAACACTCGTCTGACACCAGTCCAACAGTCTGTCGGCTCTGATGCAACCAGAGAGGAAGCTGCTGGACCTGAACAGATACCTGCTGTCAGACTTTAAACTCTACATTAACTCCTGTTATTAGTACGTTGTTTGATTTCTTTTGCTCATCTCAGATGTAGGTTTTTTTAGTTTCTTGTTAGTTGTGGCTCCAGAGGCCTTTTCTTCTTCTCTGTTGAAGGGAGTGAAGGGCTTTGTGGTTATTAGCAGTAAAACTACTTTTTGCATGGGCTGCCTGTTGTCTTGTGCGGACTCAGCATCTCTCTCCTGCTGCATTACTGCTGCATATGTCTGCTTTGATGCTGCATATCTAACCACCTCTCTGGGACCATAATTCAGTCCGGCTGTACTGTAACTGGACCCCTCCCTCCCTTCCTGACCCAGATCCAGAGATCCTCAGCCATTCTCGGCATCCGCTGTCGAGGAGAAGAGGGAACAGCTGGGGGAGCCCCCACCTGCCCACCAGAAAAAAAAAAAGAGCCTGCTCTCTCTACACTCTATGCCCCGTTATGCCCCGCTGTGTGTATGCTCTGTGGGCAGGAAGGGTTATTAATACCCCTGTGAGTAAGTTAGACAGGAAGAGCCAGGTTAACACACGCACTGATTGGAGGCTATCAAACAGAGAGGGTGGCTGAGCCTCTACCCAGGGGCACATACCAGCTCTCTGCACAGGACTTTCACACTTTCTACAAACTGCACTTGTTCTTTTCGTGTCATGCACAAGAATCAAAATCAGAAACTCAGTTAGCGAAGAGTAAAATCACCCAGATGGAATGGGTGTGATATCACCTGGCTGTTAGCTGAGGCAGAGGTGACAGTTTTAACTGGGGCAAAGTTAACATTGGAGGTCCCAGCGTGTCCCTGGAGGTAATATACTGCCACCAAGTGGACAAAGAGCAGAAACTGAAGGTTTGGCCCGAGGTAAGTGTCATTCATGTTTTATTGGTCCCAGTGTCATACATACACTCAAATTCCAGAACAGATGTAGGTGACTAGACGTCTCTCTATAAGAGCTGGGAGTTCTAATAGTTGTTAGTTATTGTGGCATCAGTCAAATCCAGACACCTGCACTTCACCACATTAGACAATGAGAATTAGTACAGAGTTAAATGTACTGACTGATGTGCTGTGATGAGCAGAAACAAGCTGAGCTGTCTGTGCTGTCACAGATCGGAGGTCTTTAATCTTTTACTTTGCAGGCTCTAAACAATTCAGATCTTAAAGTAAGAGTTCGACTTCTTAAGCCAGCATCTCTCATGTCGAACCTGCACTTCACTGGCTCCAAATAAAAACAAATCCTGAAGAAACACTGAGGTCGTCAAAGTGCTTTTCCAAAGAGCTGAGCTAGATCCAGAGTTCTCCTTGTTTTTCACAGGCTGGTCGCAGCTGCACAAATACACAGCGAGCTGAGTGATAGAGGACGCAGTTAACGGTGATCCATACATAGTCACCTGAGTTAAGCAGAGAGGGGAGGGTGAGGGTGAGAGGAGGGTCCACAGTTATAAGAGGTGGCCGTGCTGGAGGGGGCTGCCATTAGGAAGTTATGTTCCTCCTCACAGGAAGATCTCGCCTCTTCCTCTTTTGTTCTGATCTCTCTTTTCATCAGCTCAGTGGCCTTCTTCCCATCAGGTCCTTTACGTTGTCCGGATCTGAGCGTAGCGAGTTTTAGTTCTGCAGAGGCAGAAGAAGATGTGGTCAGATTACGACAAACAAGATGTACTCATCTGTGTGTTTTTGTGTGTGTGTGTTGTCAACCTGGGTGTCTTCTCTGAACTCTGTCTACTTTGAGATGCACTCTTAAACTGCACTTCCAATCTGGAGTAGGTTCCCCCTGCAGGCTGCAATAACACACACAAAACGTTCAAAAACAGTCCGACATCTGGCAGCTGCAACAACGAGAACAACTGTGCTGACAGATCAACAACAACCTCATGCTGAGAATAAATCCTGGTCACATTTCCTGCAGCAGTGTGATTCTACACATGTGATCGCTTGCCATTCATACTGTATCTATCAGCGCACACACACACACACACACACACACACACCTCTTTAGTGTCCTTAGATTTGCTCTGCTCCTGGTCTCCAAACCTCATCTTTGTCAGGTGGCCGATGATCTCCACCATGCGACGCTGGTCTGGTTCATAAAGATGATAAAACAGTAAAGACACAGTTACAGTTTCAAGTCTGCCCACACTTACCATGTATATGTAAAATAAGTAGTGAAGACTTTGACGGAATTCAATAAAAGGTATTTAGTGTATTTTGTCGTTATTGTGTGAAGTCACAGTGACCTTGACCTTTGACCTTGACAATATGGTCAAAAATTAGATCAAGATAAAAACGTTCATGTCAATCGACATTGAAAATTATCACATTAAAGTCACATTTTTATTTATTTTAAGTTTAAAGTCAGATTTTTCTTCCTGGGTGAAGCTTGTGCTTTTAAACTCTTCTTTATGAGAAGAAGACAAATCTGGGGTCAATCAATCATGTTATAACTCCTCACAGTGATTAAACAATGCTTAAGTATTATATCTATATATACTGAACCTTGTTTTATTGCTATTGATAAAAATTGAATTGAGCTATTATTTGAATTATTAATTATTGAATATGTTTCTATCTTAAAACAATGATTGTTTCCAAAAGTCTGTTTCTGCCCGCCCGGACTAAAACACAACCCATGAATTTTCTAAATAAAAAAGTCAGTCAGCAGTGTCTCCAAAGATCTCTTTTCCAAAGGCTCAAAATCTCCTGCTACTGAGGCAACAGGCATCAATGTTTGTGCCAGATGTAATGACATTCCAAAATCTTGTTTCTGATAAATTCACGAAAAAACACTTTGACCACAGAAACCAAAGTGAGTAAAGTGAAGGTTTCTGCCAGGTTTGAAGGGATTTCCCACTGTGTTCCTGACGTGTGTGTGTGTTTTGTGAGGTAACAGTGACTTTGACCACAACTGGACAGTTGTAAACGTTATAATAAAATAATATAGAGAGACTCATTCTGCTATGAATAGATAATACATACTTGACATGCCTAAAAATATAAAAGTATTAATAACATTGACTTCCTGTGGACGCCTCCTTTACCTTCTTCTCTCTGAGCATCCTGGTTGTAGCGCATGGAGCGAGAGCTGTCCCACTTACTTTTCTGAACGCTCACTCTGCAAAACACACACCACAGGCACCAGCGTCAGGCACCAGCGTCAGGCACAGCTCATTCAAACTGCAAACACGAGCACTGACAAGCAGCACTAACAGCGTCAGATACGTAACCACTGCAGCAGATACACAAGTGTGTGAGAGGATGATGGTGTTTGCACGAACTCACGTAAAAGGTGTGTTGTCCCTCGTCTGTGTCTGAGGGAAGAACAACAGGAGAGTTCAGCCATTAAAGTGTCAACTACTGTTTGAGCTGCTCCGTGTTATTTGAGCAGGAATAAACAACATGTTTAGGCAGATGTTTTAAACAGTAACGCATAAATATTAGAGTCAACTTCTAGTTAAAAATTCTTTCAACATTAAATATTTTGCTTGAATTAACTTCATGTATATTTCAGGACGGAGTATTAGGGCCACTTGAAGGGAAAAACGTGATATTTCGTGAATAAAGTCACAATATTATGAAAATAAAGTTGTCAATTTTCGAGAATAAAGTTGTAATATTACGAGAATAAAGTTTGCTAGGGGAGTATGCAGCATCTTGTTAAGTTATACTTTGGTTCAAGTTTCAAAAATAACTAAATACATAATGTTTTTGGCTCATCAATATCACATAAGTGTCAGGATTTTATTCTGCAAGAAACCAGTGGTCACATCGGCATGACAGGAGTATTATACCTTTTTCTCATTAAATCAGAACTTTATTCTTGTAATACTGTTACTTTCTTTTTCTATTTTTTTCTTCATACGGCCCAAATACTCTGTCATAATATTGTATATCTAACTTTATATCAAATATAAGTGACTATACTGTGAGAACCACGTTCTATAGGTATATTGACACACCCTGTTACAGAACATTTTCTCTGCAGCTGCCTTACTCTGTATAAGACCCAAAGACCAAAGCAGTGAACAGTCCAGGTTTCTCTCTGCAGGGTTTTACTCCACTGAGGAGTGTGAACTGAATATTAATGAAATCACTGACTCACTTTCTCTGGTTTGTCTTTGCGTTGGAAGTTGGGAGAGGACATTTGTTTCTTCAGAGGTCTGTGTGCCTTCTTTGCCTTCTTAGCAGCTGGAGACAGAAACAAAGTCATGAATATATCAAAGGCATCCGACGCCACCTGCTGGACTAACACAGCAACAGTTTTATTTTCCGGTCTTAAAAATGCAAAGACCGGAACAATGAAATGTTAAAATGCAGAGTGAGAGTAGAACAGTGATGATGTGCTATAAACAGTTTAATCATTTAAACTATGGCAGTGACTCTGTGTTCAAGAGAAGCTGCTGCTTGAAACAATTTTCCTTTTTTAAACTCATTTAGCTGTTAAAGAGAAGAGAAGTCAAACTTGTGATTTTTGTAATTTTAAAACAAATTTTGTCTTTCAAAAACTCTGTGTATTACTGAAATCACAAATTAATTTCTGAATTGGTTAAACAGAAGGTAAATTATGAAGAATATTAGTCATAACTATAAGTTACAAATGATTCTAGTCAAGTATTAAATAAAATACCAAAAGAAAAGCCTGTCTGTATTTCATCTATCATGAAATCAATCAATACTTATTTTAACTGCTGATCAAAATCAAGAGTAGTTGAACTAACTGTAAACATACACACATATATTGTGCTATTAATTTATGTTATTATTATTAGTGAGGATAAATAATCTTATTTGCTTGGACAAATGCTAAGCTAACCACGTCCTACATAAAATGATCGATTAACTTCAAAATAAAACTTTTGTGTGGCATCAGGATAAATGTACACAGTTATTTCACCTTGTTTCCTGGACAGCTCCTCTTCATCCCCCACCTCGTCTTCAGTGACCTCTGACCCCGTGGTGTACTCCTCATCCTCTGACAGAAGAGACTGGTGCCTCTGAGGTGTCACACACATTACCACTCAGTTGCTTGATGAAACTGACAATAGCCAACATTTTGACCCATCTAACAAAAGATCTGAGTAAAAGCCCCATCTACAGTTCCATGTTAACAGATGAACAATACCAGGTTAGAAGCAGATACTGTGTTATGAAGGGAATGAGGGAAAAGTCCTACCAGCTGCAGACTCCAGTTTTTCAAGAGGGAAAACTGGTAAGAAAGAGAAAGTAGCTGAGGTCAGAGGGAGGAAAAGAACCGAGGCAGAGACACAAAGGTGAACAGATGAAAAGAATTAAACGGACAGAGAGAGGGAGACTTACAGTGCTGCCGTCTCCTCTCAGAGGTCCGACAAGTGTTGGCTCCAAGAGAACATCACAGTCCTGAACCTTCTCTGCACTGGACGGACTCTCCTCAGTACTGACACACAGACACATGATCAGAAGACTGTGTTACCCTCTCACAACGCTGCTTCAAAACAATAACACACACACAAATACACGCTGTGAGAAGAAAGACAATTGCCCAATGATCCGTTGACCCGTGCTCACCCATCCACCGGCGGTGTGTTGGACACACACACTGCGTCTCGGTGCAGCAGCAGGTCATTGAGGACTCTGGTCTGAGCTGAGGTCACCTCATCACAGCTCTCTTCATCAGGTAGGTTCACTATGTGGTCTCGCATCTTACAGCCCTGCACACAAACACACATTTGATGCAGCATATGATGATTTGCTCCTTTTACAAGAATCATACACAGCAAAGATTAAAGTAGCAGATTGAAGCAAATATAGACAAAAAATCAAGTCAAGTTTTTAAATGTAACTGGGCACAGCTTGGACGTTGATGACAGACATGAATAAAAGAGGAGAGGGTTTTACTGTCCCTCCGTGAGCAGAAAGAAAAGAAAAGTTCAAATGCTGGTTATGTTAAACTGACAGGGCGGCCATTACTGAGTCCATCGTATGAAGGAGAATGCAAAAAGCACGTAGGTTTATTTGTTGAACAACCAAATATTTATAAGTGACAAAGTAACAAAGTGGATTATTTATTATGAATAAAAGCCATTATAAAATCATCAAACATTAGTAATTTGGCAAGATCTATCATGACGGCAACGAGAACTGATTATTCACTTTGAAGTTCTGCGTACGGAGTCGAGCCTCATTGAACTTGGAATAAACAGGTGAACAGTGCAGCAGCGTCAGGGTTCTGTGGACTGACTCCAGCACTGCAGGTCACTTTTACAATTTCACAAAGTGACCGGCATCAGCACAGGTCAAGCTAACAGTCCATTACAAACAGGCCAGTTTGAAAAATGGACACTGTACTTTCTGATAAATTGTGGTCCATACCTTGGGTATACCAGTGGGGTCAAAGCGGAGGACCCTCTGGTTGCAGCAGGGATAAATTCCTGCACCATGCAAGCCTTTCTCAGCACCAAGGCCAGGGTACAGCACACTGTCTAGGTGGTACTTGCAGTGGGTCAGTTCTGCACACACAAACACCTACACACACACACAAAATGTCAATGATAAATATGTAAGATTCATAGAATAAAGCTCTAAGCACATTCTTGATTTATATCAGAATCACACTCTCTCATTAAATCATTGGCTCTTGCACGTGCACACACACACTGACCTGTTGGCACCGGGAGCAGGTGAGGTAGTTGATTGTACCCCAGATTCTCCAGTACACCAGGACCCAGGACTTGAGCTCCTCATATAGTCCACTGATGTAATCATGCACGTCCCAACTCTTCTGTCTGCAAACACACACACAATTACATGAATCATGTCCTCGTGCACAGATGGGAAGCGGAGTCATAATGAACGGTTGCTGTAATACCTTGTGTGGGTATAGATGATTTCTCCTTGAGCGTCAATGTTGAGTTTCCCTGGAACACAACAAATCTTCCTCTCTGTGTCTTTGGTCAGCATTTTCAGACACAAACCACACCTGGGATCCAACACACGTACGACAAACAAAAACAGTCAAAACAGTTAAGGTAACAGATCAAATGCAGAAAAACATTATCAGCTCTCAACATAAGAGCACAAACAAAGAAACTAATTCATGCTGTTGCTAGGTGATGACAGACTGAAGGAAAGCTGAAGAAACCAAGAAGCTTCCTGGTCACCTGTAGAGGGTGGAGGCGTTCCCCGGTGAATCTCTGCTCTGATAGCTGGGATCGAAGAGACGCTCTATTTTCTTCTGGAACAACTTGCTTTTAATGTGAAAGGAAATGAAGAGAAAAAAAACAATTAAACATTGTTTGCTATTGCACAGTAATGCAGAAACAATTATAAACCTATATTTAATTCACACACAGTGCAGTGCGGTCCAGGTGCTTTTAACATTTTAACCGATGTCCCAGAGAATAATTCCTCAATCTTGTTCAAATAAATTCAAGCATAATTAGAGGACCGTTATCTATGATTGTGTGAAGTGTGGTGCAGCTTGATTGAATCGACTCTTCTTCACGCAGCCACACACACGGACTGAACACCGCGTTGGTTGTTTACACTTGCGTCTCACCTCTTGAACTTGTCCTTTTTGTCCCTGATGTCGTCCGCCTCGTTGTGGCTGAAGAGCTCTGCGATGCGTGTCGCTAGGTTGCTATTGATGCAGTTCATGTTGCAGGGTGTAGCCACGATGGCGCTCATGTATTTGTAGCAGTACTGGATACATTCGTCCACCTAAGCATTGACAAAGGTCCACCGCTTTTACAAGAGCCTTGGACAAGGACCGTAACATTCATATGATCCTACCTTCACAAACACATTAAACAACACTGCTACAGTATTAGCTCCTCTACTAGAACTTAAACTCCACTAACACACTAACACTAACAACATCCATGCGACATCAACTATCTATGGGTCTCTTGTTATCAGATGCAAAACATCCAATTATTTGCACTATAAATATAAATGAGCACGAAAAGAGACATTTTACAAGAACAATTCTCTGCATTGCATCTGAAAAACAAGGGGCCCGAAGGACAACACCACAGCTAGCATCAAGCGTCACAACACTTACTAACGTATCCATCTTCAAGAACTCGGAGGAGATCAGGATTGAGATCACATTGCTGGGCTCTGTAATCGACAAACACCACATGACCAACCAAGCAAACCCCACAAACAACACAGAACACACAGCCAGTGACCCAGCAAACACACGCCACATGACCAACCAAGAAATCAAGCACCATCCACTGATTCACACCAACAGGGGCTGAGAGTGACAGCTCAGGGTTCCAATGTGGAATAACGTTGTGTCTGATGTTGTTTTACAGTTTGTTGGGGGGAATTTTACCGAGCCGAGGTTTGTCCCTGTTTCCCTCTCCTGCAGAGTTCCTCCTGACGTAGTTCATGAGCCAGTCGAAGATCTGCACGTCACAGTGAACTGAGATGTCCACCTCTTCCCATCTCTGGGCGTCCACAGACAAGTACTCAGCGAAGTAACGCATCTCTTTAACTAGAAGATCTCTGGGACAGGTGAAGTCCTGCTTCAAGTTCTTAGTCTCATCACACACGTGGATGACCATATTTGGACTGTGGGAAGAAAAGTGTGTATCTATTATTTGCAAAAACATTATACTAAATTAAACTATGTAAACCTGCAAAATGTTTTAAACTTATTTTCAAGTCGACAGGGGCTGAGTTTCACTTTAAGCAGTTCTGTATGTTGGAGCGATCCAGACTTTTATCTAGGTTAGCTGGCTTCAGTGCTCTGGAGAGCAGTACTTTATTAAGGACTATGAGTTACTACGACTTACTCTCTCGGCTTCTGGGGTCGGTCGTCCTCATCGATTGACACTCGTTTCTCTTTCTTCTCCACACCTCCAACCCTTCCTGAGAGCGTTGATTTAGAGCCTGGATGTGAAAAAAGAGAAACCATTAACAACATTTAATAACAGCTACTATTTTTGAGCACTGACATAAATTTTAACAAAGTATTTTACTGTCTAAATGTCCTGATCGTTCTAGTTGTGATTTCTCGTGCGAAAAGAAAGATCTCAGTCCCAAAGATATCAATTATATTCAATAAATTGAAATGATTCCTTCGCTGAAACGAAACTGTAAAGAGCAGAAAATAAAAGAAACTAAACAAGTTTTTTTAATCTGTATTGCTCAGGGTGTCACTGACCAACCTGTAACTTTGCTGCTGCTCTGGCCATCTCCTGAGTCGACCGTCTCCTCAGCGTCCAGAAGCATAGACAGGTCATTTGAAGGGGAGGTACCTCCCTCTGTTAGAGTATTACATTGGTTGTCGACATGAGGAAACCCCCCTGTGTTCTTCAGCTCCTCAAATCGACGGGCGCACTGCAAGATCACAGCAATGCCAGAACATTTCTCATCAAGCCGAACCTTGTGTTACTAAGTTATGGGATGATTGGCGAATGGATGGGAACATTCACAGTCACCCAACTTTACGTTACGTTACCTCCTTGGGAGTGAATCCTGGGACCAGTTTGGCGACGTTGTCCCAGTTTATGGGCTGGGGTACTCCCCACAGAGAGCCCAGCACCATGTCCAAAACCAGGACATTGTTGTCATAGGGGAAGTTGTTGTTGTCCGAGCAGAAGCGGCTCATCTCTACAGAGACAGAAAGATAAGGAACAAGTGGTGGTGAGTTAACAATGAACAATCCTCACACCCTAATTAGCCTGCAAATGATTGGGTGACTGATCTGACTGATCTATCTTGATAATTGTTTCATTCATTTTTCAAGCAAGATTGATGCACACTCTCTGATTCCAACTTTGAAACTGCCTTTCTGTGTCCTTATGTGATTGTAAAATGAATATCTTCTGGTCTGTGGACTGCTGTTTGTGCAAAACAAAGGTGTTACAGCTCGTCTAAAATGCAGAGGCCAGCTTCTCACCAAATCTACTAGAAGAGAGCATATCATTCCGATGTTAGCTTCTTTCTACTGGCTTCTAGTAAATTTGAAATTAAAAAAATATATTTTTTATTGTTGAATTTAAAGGCCTGTTCTGGACTTCTCACATCTCTGATTTTTTTCACTATTCAATAACATCAGGACTTAGAATTTCTTATACTGTGGCTGACAGGGTAGAGCGGTCGTCCTCTAACCAGAAGGTATATAGTTCAATCCCAGTCTCCCCATCTGCAGGCTGAGGTGTTCTTGGACACTGAACCTTGAATTGCCCCTGACAGAAAAAGTGCTGCCCATAGATGCACTGTATGAATGTATGGGGGAATGATAATAACCTGCAGTGTGAAGAGCTTTTCATCGAGACACGAAGATACTATATAAATATAATACAGAGCAGAAATCATATATAAACCATAAATGCATTGGTTTTGTCTGGTGTCACTAGAAGTCAAAGTAAAGATAATTGTCAGTGCCATGACACCCTGAGGGGCTCCGTGCAGCTTCACTCAGGATCGCACCATAGATCATTGCTACATCGGTACATTTGCTAGTGCACGTGCATCACGCACATCCAGCTGTGGTGTAGGTGCGGGCCGAGCCCCTCTGTCCTCCTGCTCCATCAACATCTGCTGCCGGCGGGTCACATAACAACCGGCTGCTGCTCTCCACATCTACAACTCAGACACAGGGGGACACGTTGTTCACTCACTTATCGTCACAGATCGTCCTCCCCCGTCGTCTGGTTCACGGATCTAGGCTTCAGCTGCTCCTCTCATGTCGGTGTGTGCGTGGATGATGCTGCGGTCCTCTCCTCCTCTACCGGCTCTCTGCCTCCATTGCTACCGCTAGCTAACTTTGCGGGACAGCATCTGCTGCCTTCGCGGACTCCTCGTTAATCTCACGATCTCGAGCCCACAGCGTGCGTCACGAGTATTACTGTTAAAGTTGCTCAGTTGTTTTTGTGCTGCTGTTTTCTGCAAATAACATAATATATGTTGTGATGTAATGCTCACACCGCCATGAAATATTTAATCAGAGGATGACTTTTGCAAGGCTCATGAATACAATAGTTAAGATACTTAACAAAGAGTGGAAACAGACTAAAGTATTTTATCAATATTCAATAAGCATGTTCAAATTTAAACCTCAACTAGACTAACGCAGCTGAACAAGTCCGACAGTCCTTGAAGGCAGCATTAGCTCCAGCCAGCTAACACCGAAGCTAAAGTACGAAGTGACTCGTTTGAAACTCGGTCGCAGAAGAAGCGTGTGGTCGACAGCTGTTCTGTGAAAATACAAACTTAGTGAACTGAAATAGTTTGGAAAGTGAAACTCTTTAAGAAAGGTTCGGTCGGACCTGCAGCGGTGACGCGTCCCTGTTGACGCACTGCAGCAGGTTCAGGCGTCCTGTTGCTTAGAGACAGAGGTCGTAAACCTGGTGTTGGTGCAGTGAATCCTCCTGAAGACTTCTGAAAGTGTGACATGTGAAACATTTCCTCGTTTCATATGAATTACATTATTACTACTACCTCCACTACTAAATACAATCATGAGGATAATATTTCTGCACTGAATCCTCCTTACAATTTTTAAGTGACATGAGAATTTTTTGATCTGCACCAAATTACACATTCTCCTAAATATCAGTCCTCGAACCAAAACTGTTTCTTCAAAATCCATGAATTTATAGATCACAGTGGAAAGATAATTTTGAAATATATTTATTTTCAAAATTACTATATTTAATATTTACAAATTACATCCTGTGAGCTGTTGAAAACGTGCAAAATTAGTCCCTCAACCTGGATCAAATCCCATTTGCTTCACAGAGAAAACAGTGTAAAGTCAAGACCACACAATGTTACGTTACAGTATCAAACCAAACACACTGGCTTTGTTTTTACACTGTCACACAATATATCAGCGCACCTCATTCACTTAAACATTAAAATAACTTCTGTCACTGAACATCTTGACATATTATTCTGTATCAGACATGATCTTAAGAACCTATTCTGAACAATTGCCTCAGCAGAAGGTTTAGATTGTGTCTACAAACTACTTTGAGCTTCTCTGTGAGGTCCATGATGTTTCTCCAATAATCTATTATCAGCTGATTATTAGTTCAACTTCTGAGTTCAAGGTTTCTAACAAGTACGGACACACAGACCTGCATGTAGTGGTATGAACATATGCATAGACATCACAAGTCTATCTTCTCATTAATGTTTAGCACTGTGCTGGAGGGCACACTGGAAGCAGCTGGTGTTTCTCTGTACACTGACTCTAGCAGCTCCTCTGAGGAAGGCGAGGTGGAGGCTGACCCAGGGCCTGGGGTGAAGCCTTGGGTGGCATTTGGTTGTGGGTGTGGAGACGAGGCCGTCTGGGAGGCATGCATGTTTGCTTGCTGGATCTGAGAAAGCCTCTCCATCTCTGCGTGCTTACGGCCTCTCCTCTTACCAAGTACCTTGACGTAGTTGGCTGGGACAAGCCCCGTGGTCTGACTGTCCACGCTGGCTAGCAGCCAGCCGCGCACCCTGGGCTGTTGCTCTACACACAGAGAGAGTAAAAGGTGTGAGCTTATTGACATGGAGGGAATATCATGTTATCAATATATACTGTATATTGTCTTCTATGACATATATTTCTTTGAGAATCAACTCAGAAAATGTTGATCAGAAAAACTGATGAAAGCCTTAATAATAAATCATACCCCAATCTAATACTGTTGTAAAATGTGTTCTCTGATTTGAATATAAAGGTTGAATGCATCAAGAAACATTAAAAGATTGATTGAGTGAAACCTGAGGGCAGAAGATAATGGCCGTCAGTCACTAAGGAGCTCTCTCACCTTTAGGGGCGAGGTTGACCATGTCTCCCGCCCGCACAGAAATCTCCTCCTCAGACGCAGCAGAGAAGTCGTACTCTGCTCTGGCCACGACATGGTCATCCTCTCCACTGGCCCAGTTAGTGGCTAAAAAAAGAAACGATGTCAAAGATGTTTATTTGTCATAGTTTGGGGTTTAAGACTGGCTGGATACACCAATAATATGAGATTCACTTTGTATTATAGAATATCTTTTGAGAAATATTTTTGTTTTAATCACACACATATTTAAACATATGTACAGTAACTGCTGCCTTTAGGACAACTGATGTATTTTCCCAGTGATCTGTGGAGGCTGTCTAACTGATACTATCTCGAGATAAAGTCATCATCTGTTTGCCAGTGTGCAACAAGAGTGTTCAAGTTTTCATTCCAAGTTACTGATAAAGCAAGGTGTCATTACGATTGCTGATGAGACAACAGATTTGTATTTTCTTATTATTAATAGTTATTTATAACCATTTATAATAAATTCTGTCTCACTTACATTTCTTTGTCTCACAGTTTTAATGCCAACATCATGGGAATCATTACCAATTACATAAGCCCCCCAAGCTCTAGCATAAGGGAAGGGAATTATCTCATCTACGTGAACCAAATCTTAAATGTGCTAAAAGTCTCACCATTTTCTTCGGACTGAGGGCTGGAGCTTAGCAGTTTCCAGATGAGGTAAGGTCCACCCAGAACAACAGCAAAAAACAGAATGATTGGCCAAGATTTGACAGTCTGTTCCTCCATCCCTGCTCCCAACCCTGGGGATGCATTTGTAGCAAGGGCATCAGTAGCACTGTCTGCCCATAAATCCTCAACTTCTGCATTTGATCTCCGCCCCAGCAGCCTCTGTAACCGCCGGTAGAGGTAACGCAATGTTCGCACCAGAGCAAAGGCTGACAAGACTCGGGTGAGGTGTGTACGTAGCCGCGTTAGGTGGTTGGCTACGTCAAGCACGGCACGAAAACTGTTATACACGGCTGAGAAGGTGGCATCCAGCATCATGCTAACGGAGCCAAAGGCCTGAACGATGCTCTCGATGGACTGGAAGGCACCGCGGCTGCTCTCCTCTGCCTGCTGCACAAACCTGCTGGGGGCAACGTCTTCTTGGTGGGAGAGGCGGCCGTACCCTCCCTGGCCATAGCCACCAACCCCGTAGCTGTAGGGGCTGTAGCCGCCATAAATCGAGCTCCCATAGGGGCTGTAAGAAGAGGTAAAAGGGCTGTAAGATGGACGGTAGGACTGCTGGATGGGATGCTGGACAGGACGAGGGGGAACTGGGGGCACCATCCTGGTCAGGATAGGAGGGCCGGAAGAAGTGGAGGGACCTGAGGCCGGTGCAAAGTCTGAAGACCTATTAGATAGAAAGGTCAAGATAAAGACAGAGGGTTAAAAACATTTTTTGTTTACATCTCTCTCTCTCTCTCTCACACACACACACACACACACACTGTCTTATTTATGTATTGTATTTTTAAAGGAGGGTAAGATTTAAATTAGCTATGTGACTGATGTGTGACTTACACTAAAACAGACAATAGGTTAATCATTAATGGGGTGTTGACTGAAAAATGTGAATTCATATCACCTGCACTCCTGTTTACACTGTACATAAACTGTTTATAACATGTATAATGTGTCATAGCAACATCTGGTAGAATCATATCACTAATACTGTATATATACCTACCTACTGTAAGATATATTTACTCACTGCTTAACATATAAATAGACTTTAGCACTTCTGGTTGTATACAAACCGCATTTCATTGCTTTTTGCAATGACAATAAAGTTGAATCTAATCTAATCTAAAAAAAAAAGAACCCTTGGGGTTAACTCACAAAAACAATAACAAGATTTCTTAAACCCATTCACAGCTTTATTGGTATGAAACTCGTTTTGAATATAACCTACATTATAATGAAAGATTATGACTACGTGTAGTCTGATATAATGTACAGTGTTGTACTCATGATCACGTAATGTAACAAGAAGCAGGGATTAAGGTGAAGTCTGTGTAGAAACACCAGGAAGGACACATGACAGGGCCTCGTCGGGCCTAGCTCAGAAGTTGCTGGACTCAATTCTTCAGCTAGTTAAGTAGACAGAGAGAATACAGTTGGTAAATACACAGTTTATCTAAGTGGTTGACTGCAAAATAACAACTTGTAATCCCCGCCATGCCGCGGAAGTCTCTACTTTATGGTTTCTCGCGCGACAACTTTAGTATTGGCTAGCTAGCAACAAGAGCTAACCAGCTGTAGCCAGTAAACACGGAGCAGATTTCAAGATGGCGAGCGAGCTGACGCGGGTAAAAGCGGGGTTACCTGTAGTTGACAGGCGCAGACATCATCCCTGGAACCCGTCTCTCCCACGGCTTTGGAGGAGGTTCAGAATCCATTGAGAAACAAACGTGTTAAAATGCTACGGACCCCGTCAGACACTGTTTCTGCTGCTGCCTTCCCGGACTCCTCGTAATCCCCCCCTTCTGACACCGCCACTGGTGGTATGTGTGTGGACTGTAAAAGACTTTAGGGTCTTTTTAAAACAGATTTAACCTGAATCGTGTCTGTTAAATCTTTACACGTCTTCAAAGGTATCAATCTCCCCAAAAATATAATAGAAGTAAAAGGGTTGCAATGAATTTCCATAATCGCAACAGCTCCTGAAGGCACCACTTGTACTTGTCGGCACAGGGACATGTGTCACGTGACTTTATTACTGTAAGGCAACATGAACTTTAATGTATTTTTACATGTTTTAAAATACTATAAACTAAACTACGCTTATTTAAAATACACAAATCCATGAATAATGTTTCACATTCGATAAATAAATCAGACGTGAACCGCAAAATAAACTTCTGTCCAGCAGGGGGTGCTGTCACTTAGCAGAAAAGGCAACTTGGCACCTACAATAATAATAGAGATTTAATAACATAATATCAGTCCAACACTGGGGAGATTTACTACAGCAGTAAAGAGGACATTCAAAAATAGAAAGGAGGAAATTAATAATATGTAAACATAGTGTAATCTTTTAATGTGTCTACTTGAGAGGCTTTTCAAAGTTTGGTGTTAAATTAGATTTGTTCTCATAATGGAGGACAGAAAATCTAAAATCTTTCTCCAATTCTATTATTTTTAACCAACCAGAGAGTAGTTTGTGGTACGTCTACCTCGGATGATTACAAATATTATTGCTGATAATCAAAATCTCTATTCAGAAAATGAATGAACACTTCCACAACCAGGTTGTTGAACTATATACATCCTGCACCAAGAAGCTCAGATATAAAATGCAAGCTGAATAAACAAACTACAGTGATCATGTAACCATGATACATGGAAGCCCTCTGTCCTGTAATGACTCTTTATTTTCTTCTTTAATGCTTCACTTCACTTCTCTGAAATTGCAATCTAAAACAGATATTACATTTAGCCCACACCTATCAGCAGATAAACCACTGGCAGCAGATAGAGTCCTGTCTGCTAAACATAATGCTTATAGGCTTAAATCAAAAAGTCACATTGAGCACTGTCCTCCATCAATCTTCTTTTATTAGTTATGTTGCAGCCATGAGATTTGGCACATAATGACATGAGTGAATTTCATGTAATGATGGATTCCCCTTTGGGCTTCCACCAGCGCCCAGAATCCAGCCAAGTGTTCAGTTAACCCTGTAGTGAGGGGGCAGATTGTGACTGAGCTGTGGTGAGCGTGAGGAGAGCTGCTCTTGAGTGCATGCAGTGGGTGTAGGAATGTGGTTTTAGAAGGGAGCCCTGGTGTCAAGTGTTTTGAGTGTGTGTGTGTGTGTGTGTGTGTGTGTGTGTGTGTGTGTGTGTGTGTGTGTGTGTGTGTGAGTGAGCGTGTGTGTGCGTACAGAGCGGTCACATTAACAGCGTGTAAAGCCGTAGTGTAGGTGGGTAAGTGGGATGCTGCCGTTAGTGACATGATCGAGTGAGAATCTCTGGTGAAGGTGGAAATCCAAAGTGACGGCCTCTGATGTCGCTGTGTGTGTGGGAGGACGCCGAGCTGATGTTGATCCTGATATTTGGGGTTTGTGCAATGCATATTTGACATTTTCCACCATGAGGGCATAGGAAGTTCAAAGACAATAAAGACCATTCTGGAAAAAATACAAATACATTACCTAGTATATGTGGTTTCTGGATGTACATATTCTGCAGCTTCTTTCTGTGAGAGATGTTTTTCCGTGTTGGAGCCTGGCTGACTGGATTTGCCCTCATTCAGACACAAGAGCATTAGTAAAGTCCGGCACTGGTTGGTGATAAACTCTGTCTTGCATTTAATGATCATCTTCTTCTCAAAGATACTCGATGGAGTTTAGGTCAGGTCCATGTTCAGGCCTCTCAAGTTCTTCTTAACCACAGTGGAATTAACATTTCTTTATTGACCTGGCAATATGCATGAGAATAAACTTCCCTAAACAGTTGTCAGAAAAACCTTTGTTTAAAACTATTGTAGGGGGTCTTAAAAAATAAAATCAAGTGGTCACAAAGTGTTTAATAAGATAGAAACACTGTTTTCATTTTCTTGACTTTTCTCACATCTTTGACATTCCTTTTAAATATTTAGGATATTTCCTCATCTTCACGATTGTTAAATCTCCGAAGAGAACGAGAAATTAGCATAGCTTAGCATGAAGCATGTAGGTGAGACTAAAAAAGTGGAGCCAGCATGTAGAGGGAAGTGATATATACAATAAAAACAATCCAAGACTAAGAGTATGTTGAAGTACATGGACATTTGGAACCTTAAAGTTTTAGTTTAGGCAAAATAATGCCTGAAAATGTGTGGGAGTATTTTTTTCTGATCACCATTTGGATATAGGAAATAAAACGAAAATAAAGACATAGCATAATAAATACCAATCTGGGATAATTGCACCTTGGCAGTAAAGAGTTTGAGAAATTGAAATTGAATGCACAGAATATACCTTGTCTGTTCCTGTGGCAATCATGAAAGACCATAAAATAAAGATCAAAGAAACCTTCAGCTTCCCCTATTGCTCTGTATCTGTCAGATCTCTTTTGTTCTTTAGTATAGATTTAGCATACTGATCCAACAAGACCAATGACCTCACTCTTATACAGCATTCCTCTACGTGCTCTGAAATTCCAGTGTTTGTATTTGGTTGAATGCTGTATTTTTTCTGGGCAGCACGCAGGACTGGCCTCAAAGTGATGTGGGTACTTTACAGAGACACATGGTTCCGTGTTGCGCTGTGTACATGTCCTTATTTTGAGCTGCGTACACGGGTATTGCACAAAATGTAAGAGAGGGGAAGATGGAGGCTAATGCAAAAGTGGAAGTGTCGAGAGTGGAAAAAATTGGTGGAACGTACAGAACTCATTATAGTTTGTTTGTAACACCGACAGTATGTTGACATGGTTGCGTGGCAGCTTGTCAGAAATGGAAAATGAAAAAGGCTGAATTCCTAAAGTGTAAAGTGTGAAGGTTAAAAGTGTCTAACACACATATGAAAGTTATAAAACCTTTAATTTAAAACATTTAGGATGATTATAAAATAAACATTATATCAATGCATTGTAATATTGAGGTTTTGTTTGGATAGGCGTCAAAGGCCGACTAGCTTTATCAGGACATACCAGTTTTATTTTTTCTTATTGAACTATTGCTTGTGTATTTTGTCCAAGAATCTCAGTTACGAAAACACTGAGGCAACAAAACTGATTTTTTAACCATAAGAAATCAAAGGAAACATGAAATATATACGAAATAAAATAAACGCGAAAAAAGTTGGTAAATTAGCTTGAGCTAAAATTTGGTTTGCAGTCCTTTTTTGTTTCTCTTTGGCATATGCAGACCTTACACTTTTTCTAATGCGTAAAATTATTATAAGTCAAACATCATTCAATTTATGTTGAATAAATCACAGGAGCAGCTGTTCCACATTTGGCAACGTTAACATAAATTTGAGTATTATAAATTACATATATACCTATAGAGTGGAACTTTAAAAAAGCAATGGAGCTACATATACAATCTACTGTGTATAAACACTTTAACACGCATGTATACACTGTTCAGGTCAAACATTCACAGTGAGAGCTTTGTGGGATTTTCCCTGCTCTAAAACATGAGTTGGGTCTTGCACGAGGAGCCTTTCTAGCTACACATAAGGTACAATACCTATAATTAAAATGTGCTGAAGGAAGTTTGCAAATTGTAGGATCAGGGAAATTGCTCTCAGAGAATGGGAGTAATAACCATTCTCTGTAGGTGTGGGCTCAGTGATTTTACAGGTGCTAAAGATGAATATATAAGGCTTTGACATTGTTTGGGAATCATTCCATGAGTTGACTCAGAAGTAGTGATTCAGATAGTTTTAGAAAATAATCTACAAAATGAACAGACATTTTTGACTATGTTTTGTCCCTCGGTGGTGAATTATTGCAGAAAATCAAAATCCTTCACATCATTTAAAAAGAATCATTGAATACCATCTTTGGGGCAGGGGATACATTTGAGGTATTGGGGTCTAGATTTGTCATTTAGGCAAAACACTCACATACAACATAGAGAGCATGTTGTATTTGAAACAAATATTCCGATTTTTTAATGTGAATTTTTAGATGCAACGGACATTCTAGTATATCTGTGATAAAATTGGATTGCCAGTCATTTTACTTGAAATGTGAATAAATAAAGAGTTTAACCATTACAATAAAAGTTTCTATTATTAGTACTCTCCTGTTCTACCCGTGTGTGTGCAGTGCAGTTTGAGCACAGCCTGCCCTGTCATAACCTCGGCCTGCTTTGGTGAGATAATAGCACGCTCATTCAGGTGCAGTGTGAGTACACGCTTGTGTCGTCAGCAGCCCTTTGCAGTGAGAGGGTTTGTGTACTTCAAAGGAAGGAGGGGAGAACGGGGAGGAGGCAGAGCAGCAGAGGAGGGGCCTTACTGGAAATAGGTGGCTAAACAGGTCTCTCTGGCCTTTTCCAGGACGTGGTTTGGAAATATTCAAAGAGACACGCTGCACCATGTGTCTGGGACAAACTCTCACTGTGTGTGTGAGCACAGGAGCTAACATGACATCACAGACAAACACAACACAATGTACATGCATGTGCATGAACACACCATGGGAGTGTTTTCCTGTAAGAGCTTTCTGTCATAGGCACGGCTCCTTGCGAAAGTGAAATGTCCTGACTTTTAAAGAATTACTTCATCGTTCTACCTGTTAGACTAGATATTTGGTTCACTTATCATTTGCCAATGCTGTTATACCTTGTTTCATTACACAGCCCAGTGATAGTTTAACATCTCAACTATTTTTTAACTCAGGACCAGTAAGTGTTGGGTTGAGAATTACTGCCCAAACACCCAGCCAAGCATTAACATCTTCAGAATGCTGTCTTAGAAATAAACTTGGAAATAACCAGGCAGCGATTAGATTAGGCTGTGGCAGTGGACCATGCCACGGGGCTCTCACCACAGCAGCCAGAGACAAACCATTCAGGTTTTAGACAAACCATTCAAGGTTTTGGCATCTTTATCTTTAATTAAATTCACAAACTTTAACTGCCAACTATTCTAGCTGGCCCCTGGCTTTGCAGCTCAGGCTAGTTCAGTCTCTCCGTGAAGTCTGTGCACTTCGCTCATGTGTCTCTGTCCAACATGTGTCCTCTGAGGCAGCTCAGCCACTGCCTTTCAAACCTGTGGATCAATCAGCTAACAGCTCTCACCTGCACTGCTGATCCTTTGTGGTGCAGGTGAAGGTGCTCTCCCAGCCCCCTCACCTCCACATCGGCCAAAGAAGTTATTTTAAAAAACATAGTCCATCAGGCCAAATGCAATGAGAGAAAGATGAGTATGCTTCAATATATTTTCAGAATCATGTACATCAGCATGGAGTTTTGTTGACCTCCTTAAATCTGCCTTCAGTTATGCGCTGAACTTTGTCCACAGAGCCCCCTAGTAAAAACTCTCGATTAATGTCGGAGTTCAGGAGGAATCACCCTGATAGAAAAATAAAATAAAATACAGGAAAAAGTGGAACCCTTCGTTTCATCTGGTCTGGGATTTCTTCTTAGTTTTCAAACAAGCTTGATAATGTCATTGTTACACTTTAAGTGTGATAAGTTGAACAAGCTGACTTGTTGTTTATTGAATGTGATGACATCATAGAGCATCACATCTTGTAGTCAAGCCTTTTAATAGAAGATGTGAGAAGAGAGAAAGAAAAGTTACTGTCCATATATATGGAACTGCCGAACGTCATGGAAGAAATGACGCCAGCTCAAGCGTGATGTCAAAATATCAATGATTTGTGAAAGGGTCAATGTAGAAATTTGCATTACAGGAACAAACTCATTAAGTACATCACCCTCATTTCCTCTCCAGAAGAGAGAAGACATCAATTCCACTGACCTGTGATTCCTTTAAAATATAAAGTGTAATGAATGTATTGGATTCTTTTACAGAACAAAACCCTTAATACATATCTGCTCTACTGAGGATTTTAACATATTTCAGCTCATTGTTTCAGTTTAACAGCTACAACTTCACTGTTCTGTTTCAGACTTTTCACTTCAACCAATCCTGTTTCCAAGTGCAGCAAACAGTTGTAAAACAAAAGTAGTAACAAGCTTTCAAATGTACTGGAGCAATTTGCAACTTTGGTCAGATCAAAAGAGCTATAGGAGAGTAAATAGGACTTTAGGAAAGGTTATTAAGCCACACACTTGATGTTTGATTGTTGTGAAGGTCTACTGTGATCTTGCTAATCAAAGGCTTTTTAGCATGAATATAAATCAGAAATGTTGACATTACTGCTATTTAGGGCAAGGGTCAATTACGTTTAATTACAGGAGCATGACGTAATCATAATGACAAGTAAGAGTGTAGATTAAATTGAACGTTCAATGCTAAATGCTGTCAGCAAAGACAAGAGAGTTTGGACTGGTTAACCAAAACCTGTGAACGGATTATTGACAGTATCCTGTGCACTGAGGTTAAATCCGTGTTTGTTGTGGTGCCTGACGACACGACAGGAAGGAAGCTACATGCAGCAGTTCACCTCAGTCTCCTGATACAAGAGAAAACCAGCGCAGCCACTGTAGCACATCCTGGGTTCTTTGGTATTGACTCCTAAGGACGCACTGCCTGTAAATTACCTCGGCAAAGGCGAACGTAGAATTTTTCATGAATCAAGATTAGAAAATTATGATTTATCCTCTGATCATTACTGACATAACTGTGATGCAGTGATGTGTAAGTATGAAACTTCACAACATTAAACATCAGTGTCATTTTCGATGTTTATACTCCACACACACACACATCTACAAAAGTTTGCCAAGGCTGTCATCATTTGTTTTCCACTATTCTGACATTAAAGGGATAGTTCACCCCAAAATGAAAATCCACTCATTATCTACTCAGCACTATGCCAAACCACTTTTGGAGTTTCAGGGGTAAACAGTGTTGAAGCCAAATCCAGTACAATCGAAATAAGTGGTGACCACTTCTTAAAAAAAAAACGACATCAAAAAACATAAAAAGCCTCCATACTGCTCCTGTGGTGTGATCCAAGTGTCCATAACCCCTGACATTCAAATTCAACTCAAAACGGCATCATTTACATCATGTTCCTGTACTGGAAGGAGCAATGATAGCTGAAGTAACCCCTTGCTTGTTTGTGTTGTGTGCATACAAATGTAAACGCAGATCCAGAGGAAGATATCAGAGAACTTTTAGGCTTAAAACGTGGTGTAAATGATGCTGTTTCAAGTTGAATTTGAATGAAATGATTAAAATCATAAAAACAACAAAACCCAATAAGAAATCTGCATAAAATGTTGTTCAAATAAATGAATTAACACAGACAATAGAAGAATGTAGTTACTGCTTCAGATATGGATTTCCACAACGATAGTGAACATTTGCCATGAGCTCCAGTGGCCGGCACTGACGACATTGGCATTTTGGTTTTGCTGTTTTGTAGAAAAGAAGCAAACAACGATCAAGGCTACTGTCTGATTACTGTTACTGAACCCCTTTTATATCCTTTTTCTTTCTTGCAGTGCAGTTGCTTCCAGCCATAAACTACATTTCCAAAAATTGTGTTCTTCCATGTTGCACCGACGCAGTGGGGGAAGAAGGTGCTGAATCGTCTTACAACTTTGCATGAAATGTGCGAGAGCCTGACGACATCCAACCAAAAGTTCTGATTTGTCAGAAATGAATCCGACCCAGGAATGTCCGGGAGCTTCTGATTGCACCTTACCGGTGTCAGAGTCTAAAATGAGTTGCATGTCTCAGAAGTTGGGTTCAAATTGCTCAGTGAATGCCTGGCTTAAATGCACCTGATATTGTGAATATTTTAGAGCAGTCTATAAGAAATTGTATGACGCCTTTTATAATTGTATGTGTTCTGTTTCCAGTCTTTATGCTTACCTGAGCTACACTATGCTCATGGTATCAATCTCTTATCCCATGCTGGGGAAGCTAGCAAAAAGCATGCTTGTAAATATGTTTTTTTTTTAAACTTTCTTTGTGGGATTTAATAATGATATTTTCATTCACATTTCATCTGGTTGATTTGGCCAGAAAATGTCAAATCTTTCAAAAGTGATTGATTATAGATCATAGATAAATAATTATTTATAACGATGGATGCACAAAATACTCTGAGATTTGTATCTGGACGTGAAAGCAACAAGTTTGTTGAATCGAAATGATCTATCTCTGTTTTGTCAGACTGGACCCAGAAAGGGAAGAACAATGTTTTGGTCCTGACTTACAATCATGGTGTTAAATAATGTGAGGAAAAGCTCAGTAAAGCTCAAACACAGTGCACAGTCGTGTGAATCAGGCGACTCATTAGTTTGTTGTTGAGACATGTCCAAGTCAGGCTGCCAAAGATTTTTTGTAAAAGTTCTTATTGGACATGTGTTGGCCATGACATTTCAGTATCATAATTTAACACTACTACAAAATTGATGGTAATTGATTATATTATATGAACATATAAATGTATTTTGTGGTCATGTAATATGTGGGGTATTGCACTCTGTCGTGTCACAGTATAGAAAATAATGCAATTGACCTTCTCCAATAATTGTTTTTGTTTGGACACCCTGTTGTGCATCCTTACTTTCATAAATATATTTTTGCACATGCTGTTTGTAAAAATGCAAACAAGATATCAAATCCTAAAAGATGTGGTCAACGATATCATTTATTCAGAAAAGATTCAGTACAAAAAACAAACAACAAAAAAAGCAAAACTTACAAAGCTGTCAACACAATAATATCCAAAAGCTTCTGGAAGGAATACAAGTCAGAAAATGTGAAGGTTGAGATGGGCTGATGGTAACAGAGTGGATCTGCAGGCTACCGCCAAGCTCTCAAAGCGCTCTGTGTAACTGTCCCTAAGAGCATCAGTTGAACATTTACAACAATAACAAAAAAATGTTTACCTATAAAACATCTGGTAGAAATGCTCTGAGAACTCTGGATAATACATGTGATCACTGGTATGACATAGTCATTACAAAGGAAAGACACCACTGAATGGGCTTCCTCCCACTTCCTCAATGGAAATTTCAGTACCTTGCCACTTCTTGAGTGTTTCAGCATAGTTACTGCTTTCACCCTCAACTATGGCTAACATGTATATACAGAGAGCATTTAACAGCAAACACTCTGTTAAAGAGTTTGCTGTCAATAAAACAGTTGCACATCTTTACTGACACATATAATATGTATAAATCTCTTAAAAAGCATGAACAAGTAAACCCATGATGATAAGCCTTTTTTATGCTGTGTTTTCAAAATCCCTAACATTCACTTACCCTTGTTTTTTTTCAGCATCAAACACCAAACAAAACATTCATTTATATACAGTATGTTGACAGTGAATCCAACTTCACCTGAGAAAGACGAAGGAAGGAAGGAAGAAAGAAAGAAAGAAAGAAAGAAGTTCATTCACCTCTTCAAAAACTGAGCTGGCCTGGAAACCATCAACGTATCATTTGATGCGATCATTGTCATCTTTACAGCCTTAGCCACAGGTCAGCCACGTACAGGTCTTTGCCTGCGGGTGATAGTGGTGAGCTTTGTTTTATTGAGTAATTTGGAGGACACCACCTGATGGATGCCAAACCAATAAGTGAATTTAGGGGAGTGCATGGTGCACAACAACACAGTCGGGGTAGAACCATATCAGAACCACACTTAACACCGATCATGAAATGGCCTTGATGTGAAGTGTCCTTGATATAAAATGAGGTCTCTGGAGCTGCATGGCCTTAAATTTGACCAAAACACCAAATTCTGGTTGATAAATTTAGGAACAAATGTGTCACTACAGATTTAGAATTGGAAGCAAAGACCAATGACTGTGATGTTTTTGCCTAAAAGGAAAATAGACGTTATTCAGTTGTGCCACCAAGAAACAACAAAACAATTGTTGGTTATGTATCTAACTGCCTGCCAATAATTTTGGTATCATGCCCACAGATGCAATAACCCAAGCAAAATGGGAGAGAGCAAACTTTCTGTTTTATAAGATAAAACAAGACCAACATGTGTCACTGCTTCTAGTCGCTTTGCTGGGTTGCTTTGATCCAGTCAGCCAAAGTTGGATAGTGGCTCTCTGGGGCAATGCTGTTTGAGTAAGGACTCTGCAGATTTTTGAAAGCCTGGCTATTGCCACTACCATCGTGTATCACTGGATCCATAATCGAGCCATTGTTCATGGGACGAGGAAGCAAGTTGGTATATGTATTTCCTTGGCTTTCCCTTGGGGATTGCATGAGCGAGGTATGGGTGTCTTGTCCCACTGGCATCTGGGGCTCCTGCTTCAGCTGGAAGCCAGTATGAGAAGTTCCTCCCACTAAGCCCTTCAGCAAATCTTCCCCTTGCATTCCGTCGAGGAAGGGGAAAGAGCCAAGCCCTTGCGACCCCCCGCCACCTCCAGGTACTGACCCATTAAATGTACTCTGGACTACATTGATGTTATTGAAGGTGGGCCACACAGTCTGGAGACCCTGGTTTTGGTTGCTTAGTTGGTTCTGGGCCTGGCTCTCAGATGCTTGCTGATCCCTTTGGTGCTGCAGATGGAAGAGTGGCTGGGACTCGGACTGGCTCATTACAGAGGACTGGGGGGCTGTATCCAAGCACTGCAAGTCCCTTATGGAGAGCTGGGGTAGGGCGTTATTCTCACAGCTGTTGTGCTCCATTCTGTGGGAGTAACTAGATCCATGGTTTGGCTGCTGTTGCCTGATGGTTGTAGGACGTTGCAGATTGCTCATGGCACCAGATGGGTTTATGGTGACTGTGTCCATTGAGAGTGCTGCGCTGTGGTTTGCCCACGATTGGCCGATGTGTAAATTAGGCGCCTGTGATGGCATTATCACATTCTGGGGCCCTGGTTGGTAAGGTTGGTTGAACATAGGAGGTTGCTGCTGCATCGTAGCTACAGGGTGTTCCCTTAGGTACATGTTTGGGTCTGGAAAACAGGTAGTGACATTTAGTGTAATCACAGGGCAGTATTATCCAAACCTGGTTTAAAATGTTGATTCCTATTTGAGGGAAATCAAGTTACCTTTCCGCATTTGACTCATGGTAGTCTGTGACACTGCCTTTGGCCTGTTCAAAGCCAGACCAGAAAAAGGACCACCTGAAGGATAGGCAGAAACCTTTGTTATAACAAATACATGTGTGTTGACATACAAAGGAAATGCTGATTCATATGAAATTTCTTTTACCTGACAATCCTGATATCTTCATCAAGTGCTCTCTTCTGCGCTTTTTCTCATTGTAGCCGTAAGGGTCTAAAGCAAACACGAAATGTTCACATTTATCAAATGAAAATAACTGAGAACTGGGTCTGATTTGCTGGATACCACCATCAGACACAGAAGAACAGTGATAGTTTGAATTTACCCATCATGGAAAGAAGGCATTTATTGCTCACCTTTGTCATCAGGCAAATATCTGAACTCCATATGCTCGCTGACTTCCTGATCAGAAGGTCTTCGTAACTGCATGTGCACAGTGACCGACTCTGTTATGGAGGTGTTATAGTAGGAAGGAGTCTTGAAGACGATGGCTACCTGGCGATGAACGTCAGCCTGGGAGAAGGAGCCTTTAGCCTCCCAGCCGTCAGGGGTGAAGAATCGAACTTCAATGTCATCTGGAGGTAAAGGGGATGATGGGATGACAGGAATGGGAAACTGAATAAACATGCAAAGAGTTGTGTGCTACAGCTATGAAAAGCAAAATTAATATATGGGTAAACTGATTGGATGGAGATGAATGAAGAGAAAAAAGATGCAAGCTATAAGAAAAATACTGTAAAATGTGTAAAATAATTAAATGCTAAAGGACTATACACAATACTCATATTTGTACCTTTCTGTACTTTGTCACACAGTAAGAAGATCTCATCTCCTCCTTTAACAGTGCCACTGTTCCTGTTGACTCGACAGATCCTCAGCTCTGCTGTATTTGGGGCCCCTGATGATGCAGGAAAAAGTTATAAGCACATAACCCAGACAGAATATCTTCCTGTGTGTCTTTCTGTCTGTCTGTATGTGGAACGGATATCTCACAAAACGTTCATCTTATGGGCTTCACACTGGCATGTGTATTGTTAATGCCCAGGGGAAGTGCAGTGTGGAATTTGGTTATTGATTATTATTTGGTTATTAATATGCAGGCAAAAATCCCTCTGTGGCAGTCATTGAGGGCAGGGCAGTATGCCTTTAGCCTGTGAACAGAGTTGAACATGTCTTCTTCTGTGTCCTCTGAGAACTACAGCAGCAGTCGACCACTAAGACTTTCATGGGTGTCACAGGTGCTGATTTTCCTCACAGCAACCACGCAAACAGAATCACTTCTTCTTTCACAAGCTGTCTTCAAGACAAAAGTACAATGTTCTTTTTGGCGCTGCAATGCTTCATATCTAGCTCAAGTACAGAGCTTTTGTAATGAGAAGATCAAACTCGAAGATTGTGTAAGTTGCTTAACAAACCTCTGAAATAGCCGACATGTAATGTATAAAAAATTACAGCAGTTGAGTCGTATATATAAGCCACATATCTGAACAGAAATGAAGGATATTTAGTTTCGTTTTAGGGTTAGGGTTCGTTTTTAAGTATTGACTAGAAAATCTTCATTCCAGATAGACCGGGTAGGATGAACACAAGGATTTCGAACTTCACACTGCCCCATAAACAATAAAAACGTGACGGCATATTATAGAACTGTTTGAGGATGACTCACTAATGACAAGGAATAATTCTGAAGTTGTGACGTAGCATGAACACAGGCCATTCCAAACAGGCAGGTTTAGAACGGGCACTGACACAGTCTAACAAATAACAGAACATAATATAAATAATACATAATTTATGTTTTCATAAAAAGATAATGTCAGGATCTGCCTTTACTAAATCTACTGATGTGCAGGCAGGGCCGCTGACAGGTTTGGCTGGGCCCGGGACAAAATTCTCTCAATGGGCCCCCCCCAAAAAAAAACCCACACACACCTCTACTTTCTCAGTCCCTACCCTTAAATGACGGAAATTCAAAAAAATACTCATTACTCAACAAACAATTTATTTGAAAATTTTAACATTAACTTTGTGTGCCATGCGCCAGACTTTTGTGGTGTCCAGCTTCTTTGCAAGCTTGTGTTCT